ACCTTGGGCCAGTCACACTTCTCTGAAGTCTCTCAGCCCCACTCACCTCACAGAGTGTTTGTTGTGGGGGAGGAAGGGAAAGGAGAATGTTAGCTGCTTTGAGACTCCTTAAAGTGGGTGATAAAGCGGATATCAAATCCAAACTCCTCCTCCTCCTCCTCCTCCTCCTCCTCCTCCTCCTCCTCTTCTTCTTCATGTGAGGGTTTATTTGGGGGGAGAGGGGTTCACTAGCAACACCCTTATGGGGAAAAGTACATGTTTCCCTAAGGTGATTGAACCTAAGTTGCATGCACACCACTTCACGAAATAGCAAACATTGCAGGCCAGTATCTGTCTTCCTGGCAAATTCATGCATAACTTTTGAACTGGGATTGTCTTCTAGGTGAAGTAATGCAAGTGTCCAGTCTTCTGTATTGATTGCAAAGTTGGTTTTCACTGCACCACACTGCTACTTCGGCATTGTAAGAGCCTGACAGGCACACCATGGCTCCATTGGCCAATGTACCCCCTGATGTGTTTTTCAGGCCAAAGGGACCTGCCAGCACCTGCAAGCCATGCCTAACAGTGACTAAGGGATGGCCACAACCTGTCAGGATGCTGTCAGTGGCTCCCGGCTGGTTGCCCAGGAAAGTATAAAGACAAGGAAAAGTTTCTTACAGTCCTTTTTTATTTCAAACTTTACAGAGAGAGGCTATAGAACCCAGCCTCTTGGATAATGGTGTTGTCCCAAGTGAATCTCTACCTTCCCGTCTCTCCCACTTCCTCATTCGTCATTCTCATAATCTCCTCTATGGGTGCTGCTATGTGCCTTCTGTCTTTGAGCTCTTTGCTCTCCTACTTTTAAGGCTCGCCGGGTTCTGGGAGATGGAGGGTCTGGAATGCTTTCTAATGGCAACGTGTCAGCCTGGTGTTGCTCTGGCTCTCCCATGATAGGAAATCCCCTCCTCTGCCTCTGAGCTGTGACCTCCCTCAAACCCCTATAGTAAATCTATACTGTCTTTTTCTTCCTCCTCCCTGGGACAACCCAACACTGCCTTAGGTATGTCTTGCATTCTTTCTGAAATCTTCTCACCTGCCCAAACTACATGCCAATTAGCCAAATTGAAGGAACACTACTCCTACAGACAAACATCACACAGCAGTGTGGAGTGTGGAGTAGGTGAAAAGAGAAAACCCAGAGCCCATTAAGTCCCCCCCCCCCAAATTCCTACTATGCATCTGGAAAACAGACAACTAACCTGTAGGCCCACGCAACACAAGGGGTAGGGGAGTGGATGTCAATAAGGGAAATAAGGAGTTGGGTGGAGCAAGCTTAAATAGCCTGTCACACCTCTGCCATTGGACAAAAATTGCCCCTCGGGCATAATGTTCTCCCTTAGGGAAGTACTAGTCTCCCTTTTCTCCAGGGGAGGAGGGGTGTGGCCAATTCATCGCCGCCAATAAAAAAGGGTAATGGCATAGTTTTAAGCTGTCACAAGACTTTTGTTGTTTTTAACGAAAAGCATGGGGTTGAATTCAATGTTAGTCATACTCTGAGCAAACACACCAAAGTTAATGGCTTGGATTAACATAGGCGCATTAATTCAAATGGGGTCTACTTTGTGGAAACTCTTAGTTGGAGACAACCATGATGTTTGCCAGTGTATGACTGCAACCAATAAAATGATAAATAGCAGGGTGTAAAATGATCACCCTAACGACACCATCCGTCTCTTGTCTTCACCAGTGACATAAAACTGCTAGCTCACCAGCACTACCAAAGCTCCCTCTCCCTCTGGTTCTCTTCGCAAGATTAATTGACACAGTAATAAAAGTCTTCTTGCCTTCTGGCTTGCTGATCTTTTAGGCAATTATTTGGGAGTCATGAACCACGAATGCATGAACATTTAAAAACCAGAACTCTGGCTGGTCAGCAGGAAACTTGGTGCAATTCACATGGCCCCTGTAGAAAATAAAGCTTAGCTTGAAATAATGTTCATTTAGCACAGTTGTAAACTTAACAACTGTGTTAGGGTCTGAGGGGACATATAACCATTTGGAGGGAGGGTTATAGGCTTGAAGCTGTTGCTTGGCTGCAATCTGGGAACTCTACAAAAGGTGGGCCGGACAGCAAAGTTTGAAGGAAAGGAAAAAGGGAAAGGGATCGTTCTATAGGGTGTCTCTGGTGGCTTAATTGGCCTGCATGTTCCACAGACCAGACAAATAACCTTCAGTGGAGAAGTGGGTGAGGTTTTAAAATCTGCTCTCCCACTCACTTTCGGTGGTTGATTCAATTGGGTTAATGAGCAGTGAGACAAAGTCTTGTAAGCTAAGGGATAGGGGATTTTCATCTGTTTTGTTGCCATCACTGCTCTGTGAGTTCACTCTGTCTGGTGCTGCACTTCCCCCAAATTCCAGTTGAACAAGGGGAATTTCTAAATTAATTTTGGAATTGGAGCATGTGTGGTTTTCTGATGCTTTGGGGTCCTCTCAGTTTATTTGCTTCTTTTCCTCATCCGATGCACACCAAGGCCATTTATAAAACGCCAGCTTTAGCTAAAGGGTGTAAGGCATCATTTTTTCGTCACATGCAGCGACGTTTCCTTCCACTGCAGTTCATCTTCTTCCAAAATCTACATCATGTTGAGAGAGATACACAGGAAAACCTTTTTGTCCTTCTTCAGCTGCTGCCCTAAAGCTCTGATAAGCTCCTCCCACAGCTAATCACCTACCTCAACAGAAGCCCCGCCCCCTCTGACCTTTGCCCAGAGAGAGCAGCTAATCAGCCACAAGAAACTCACACAGGAAAACCCTTTTTGTTCCTTCTTCAGCTGCTGCCCTAAAGCTCTGATAAGCTCCTCCCACAGCTAATCACCTAACCTCAACAGAAGCCCCGCCCCCTCTGACCTTTGCCCAGAGAGAGCAGCTAATCAGCCACAAGAAACTCACACAGGAAAACCCTTTTGTTCCTTCTTCAGCTGCTGCCCTAAAGCTTGATAAGCTCCTCCCACAGCTAATCACCTACCTCAAACAGAAGCCCCGCCCCCTCTGACCTTTGCCCAGAGAGAGCAGCTAAACAGCCACAAGAAACTCACACAGGAAAACCCTTTTTGTTCCTTCTTCAGTGCTGCCCTAAAGCTCTGATAAGCTCCTCCCCACAGCTAATCACCTACCTCAACAGAAGCCCCGCCCCCTCTGACACCTTTGCCAGAGAGAGCAGCTAATCAGCCACAAGAAACTCACACAGGGAAAACCCTTTTGTTCCTTCTTCAGCTGCTGCCCTAAAGCTCTGATAAGCTCCTCCCCAGCTAATCACCTACCTCAACAGAAGCCCGCCCCCTCTGACCTTTGCCCAGAGAGAGCAGCTAAACAGCCACAAGAAACTCACACAGGAAAACCCTTTTTGCACCTTCTTCAGCTGCTGCCCTGCAAACTCTGATAAGCTCCTCCCACAGCTAATCACCTACCTCAACAGAAGCCCTGCCCCCTCTGACCTTTGCCCAGAGAGAGCAGCTAATCAGCCACAAGTAACACACACAAGAAAAACCCTTTTTTGCACCTTCTTCAGCTGCTGCCCTGCAAACTACAATAAAACCTGTAAAAGACAGGTTGGAGTCCTGCCTGGTTACTCACGAGCAACCACCACCCGCATCTGACAGGTATCATGGTATTAATTTTTATAAGTTGGTTGCTACAGAAAAAGTATCTAAGCAACTTACAAAACTATAAGAAATAAAGCATAACATAGCACCAGGAGAAAAGAACAATGCTTTACAATAAAAGCCATACAACAAACAACAATACATAGAAAAAAGCAGGAAAAAAACAGCAGCAAAAATTTGGCAGCTGAAAAATCCACAACTGAAAAGGCCTTCATAGTCAATTTTGGCAAGCTGGAATGTGTGCAATCCAGATGATAAAGGTTCTGGAAACAAAGCCTTATGAGGAACGGTGGAGGGACTTGTGTACGGTATGCTTAGCCTGTAAAGAGGAGACTGAGAAGAGATACGATAGCCATCTTCAAATAGATAGCCATCTTCAAATATCTCAAGGGCTGTCACATAGACAATGGAGCAAGTTTGTTTTCCCCTGCTTTGGAGGGTAGGACTTGAACCAATGGATTCAAGTTACAAGACATGAGATTCTGACTAAACATCAGGAAGAACTTTCTGACAGTAAGAGCTGTTTGACAGAGGAACAGACTCCCTCTTTTCCATAGCCGCAATAGCCTAGAACTCAGACAACCTTTTAAAATTGTTGGTCTATTTGCATGTTTCAAAAATCTAGCAAGTCAGATCTTAGGTGCTACCAGCAAAAATTGAACTAAATCAAGATGGGTCACGGTCTCTGGAATATATCCTGACAGGAATATAGTGGTACCTCTGGTTACGTACTTAATTCGTTCTGGAGGTCCGTTCTTAACCTGAAACTGTTCTTAACCTGAAGCACCACTTTAGCTAATGGAGCCTCCCGCTGCCGCCGCGCCACCGCCACGCGATTTCTGTTCTTATCCTGAAGCAAAGTTCTTAACCTGAAGCACTATTTCTGGGTTAGTGGAGTCTGTAACCTGAAGCATATGTAACCTGAAGCGTATGTAACCCAAGGTACCACTGTACCACTGGTACATGTGGTAATAAGTTCCTTGTTATGGCACATAAAATATATAAAATAACTACACAGTGTTTTCTCAAAAGACGACAGTCCCACCATGTGTGTATGTAGGTTCTTTTACTCACACTTGTTCACATGCATCCCTTATTGTTACAATTCGTCTCCCCATCCTCCATCTTGCCCTTTTTTTTCAAAATTCTGAATGTAACCTTTTTGAGGCAGAGACCAGTCCTATATATTACCACAAAATATTATGGTAAGACCACAATCATATTCCGCTTCACATTGGTCTATGATTCTATGTATGTGTACCTTCTTGATAGTGAAAGCACTAAACCCTGTTGTTAAATAATGCAAATAGCTGTGACCAGGTATACTGTTTCTTTTCTCTTTTGCTTCCCTTCTCACAGGTATTGCAATGAGTACCTGCTGTGCTCTCCACACATGTTCTGGACTGGCTGGGGTGCCTGGGAACGTTGTACATCCCAGTGTGGAGGCGGGATCCAGGCCCGCCACAGAACCTGTGAGAATGGCCCTGACTGTCCCGGCTGCAGCATGGTGAGTCACACATTAATTGCTCTAAATGTGTATATGCACACCGTATTTTTCGCCCTATAGGACGCACCTAGATTTTGGGGGGGGGGGAATAAAGGGGAAAAAAATTATTTCCCCACCCGCTGTCCCCCGAGCTTGTGGGGCTGGCGGTGGGGCTCTCCTGAAGCCTGGAGAGCGAGAGAGGTTGGTGCGCACCGACCCCTCTCGCTCTCCAGGCTTCAGCGAAAGCCTGCATTCGCCCCATAGGACGCACACACATTTCCCCTTCATTTTTGGAGGGGGAAAGTGTGTCCTATAGGGCGAAAAATACGGTATTTTATATTTTTATGACCTTAATATATATTCATGAGATGATTTTGTAGCATACTAAGCTGTGACAGAGATACTGACACAAACTGGTAATGGTGAAACCTAATATCTACCTACCTACCAACCAACCAACCTACCTATAGATACAGATATATAGATAGATAAATAGATAGATGTATACTGACAGTCAGAGCCTGGCCTGTGTTGACCAGGTGTGGAAACCTCTTGGGTTAAACTACTGCAATTCCTTGCTTGTTGGGCTGCCTTTGAAGACTTCTTAGAAACTTCAGTTGGTACACAATGCAGCAACTGGCAGAACAACCCAAACTTCCTTTGTCTTGGACGGTGTATGTGTATTGAGCAGAGATGTCTTTCTGCTCAACTGTGTAGGCTGGGGTTATCCAGGGTGGGGAGGAGGGTTGGGGCTGAGCTGGCCCAGGATCCCCTGGCTCTTAAGCTGATCTCCTGGCTGTTGGGTGAGGCACTGGGACCAACCTAGAGCTGATCATTGTATCAGCCAGGATCTGGCATTGATTTGGCCTGGTCATTCTCCGCAGCACCACCCTCCATAGCAGCCACGATTAACAGCTGGGCTGTGGTTGCTCCAGTGACTCCCCCACCCTGCAAAGTCCCACTGGAGGGGAGTGAGGGCAAGGAATGCAGCCTGGATTACTAACTGGGACTGATGATTCAAAACCTGCTCTTAAACAATGCTGGTAGCTGCGTGTCCATTTCAGGGCACAACACAAAGCCCTGACGCTTCCCTCTAACATCTGGAGTGGCCTGAGACCTCGGCACTGGTTCTGTTTTGCACCTGAGGCGAAATGAGCTGGGTGATTACCAAGGAGAAGGACTTTTGGTCATGGCCCCCTGCTTCTGGAATGCCCTCCTTAGGGAGGCTCAACTGGTGCCAACCGTGATGCACCAGGGAAAGATGTTTTCATTTGTCCAGGCATTCTAGCATGGGATGCAAGCTGGATTTAATGTCTGTTTGATCTGCTCTGTTGAGTTTCACTGCTGTGTTGATCTACTCTGTGTCCTTGTTTTCATTGTTGTTTCACTTGCATGTTTTCCCCGTAGTTTTACCGAAGTGTGACCCATAAATTAAATAAATAAAAGTGGGATCAACCTGGGTCTCAAGCCAGTGTCTCCTGCTCCCGATCCCCTCGCTTCTTCTCAGTGGCCTCTGGGAATGGCAGCTTCAGGCTTCTGGAATGGTGCCCTTTCAGTCTTCGGAGTGGAAAGGGTTACTTTGATCTTCCTTGGAGAACCTTTAATTCCGAATGGTTAAAAAAAAGGGTCAGAGAGAGAGAGAGAGAGTGCGCAATGTCATAAGACAGCGCAAGCAAAGACCTGTGTTGACCTGCCGTGGCTTTTTGAAGGGTGTGATTTGGCATTTACCCATGAAAAGTCAATGGCAGTGCACAGGGTAGAAGGGGGAAAATGCTTCTCTTTTTAGCTGCTGTAATTATGACTCTCATTTGAAGCTGTGTTATAGCTTGTTCGTGCTAACTGTATATTTAGAAGGAAAAGCCAGAGATTATGTGCTGAGCAGCATTAACCCGAGGGCCTAAAAATGAGAAGACTTTGTAGTAAAATGTGAGTTGTTCAGTGGCTGCTGGTTCGAACAAAGTGGTTTGCCAGCCTTTGCCAACCTGGTGCCCTGCAGATGTTTTGGACTGCAAATCCCATCAGTCCCAGCCAGCAGAACCCTGAGCTGATAGAACTGTAGTCCACAACATTTGGAAGGCACCAGATTGGGGCAGGCTGAGCTTACAAAAGATGTGGCATCCATCGTTTCCCAATAAAGCAACTCTTTTTGGGGGTGGGAATCTAGAAAAGAGTCAGCCAACCTTTCGGAGCCTCGCTGCCATTCTGTTATGTAAGAGGCATTCTAAACACTTACCCACTGCCTTAAGGGGAAATCTTCAGGAGAAGAAAGTACTAAGGAGTAAATCCTACACAAATTCGGAGTGGAGTCCCTAAGACAGTTGGATGGCGTATTGTACGCCTCCTTCCGGCAATTCCTGCAGCCAAGCTGGTGCCAAACATATTGCTCTGCTTTCCTTTGGAGCACATCAGTGAGGCCAAGAGAAGGGTCTTGTCGTCTGGGCAGCCCAGGACTTTCATATTCACTGCCCAGTCTTGCACCCCAGGGAGGTCACTTCAGTGCTGGTAATGCAGCAAAAACAACACAGAAGGCAACAGTTATGAGTTACCAGTTTCTGCAGCCACAGCAGGTGCTGTGATTTCACACACACACACACACACACACACACACACACACACTGGGGATGCACTCCATTGTCCCTCGAGACAGACAGGTGCCAAGAAAAATTCTAAAAGCTATTCTGGGAGCAACAACAACAACAAAATCCAATAAAGAAATAAACCAACTAAAAACCATCAAAAGTAGCAGCTGCTGCCTCGGAATCCTACAGTCTAGTTCTTGGGTTTGTCTCATAATGAATATTATAGTAAGGTTGTGCTTTATTAATGCAGGCATTGTGAGTATAGGAGCACCCAAATAACCTTAATTTCCATGTTTAAACAATGATATTATAGTCTCTAAACCCCTTTGGCCCAGAGAGTGTATGCAAAGTTTCAAGGTGTTTGTGGGCCATGCTAGACACTAAATAGAAGTAATCAACCCCTTTCCTTCAGGAGTATCAAGGCTGCAACACCAGCCCCTGCCCAGAGTTGAAAAAGACAACTCCTTGGACCCCATGGACTCCGGTGAACATCTCCGACAACGGTGGGCACTATGAACAACGATTCCGATACACCTGCAAGGCACGGCTGCCTGATGCAAGTTTGTTAGATGTGGGAAGGCAGAGGATTGAAATGCGTTACTGTTCCAGCGATGGGACCACTGGATGCTCAACAGATGGTAAGCAGCCATGTGCATCAGAATCTTAGGTTTCTTGCCATTGCTATGGCTGGAGGTGACTTTGGTTTTGTTGGTACTGATAGAACCACTAGCAAAGCACCTATTGTCACAGTGGGCAAAAGCAGGACACGCTTTGTGGAAGATCATAATGAGGTGCGTCCAATAATATCGTCAGTCCAGGAGCAACCTCTCCTGCCCCAAGAAGTCACCGACTTTGCCATCAGCCTGAATTGGGTCCCTAGGCATAAAAGGGTCCTCAAAGGTCATCAGCTGAGACCTTTCCTGCTACTGCAGGAAATCTGTTACTGATTAAGGGACCACATGCTGTTCTCAAGGACAAAGTTCAGGTGAGGATCAAACATACTGCCTCTGTCAGATACTGATGATTCCAGTATCAGTAGTGTGGCAGAATTTGCCCATCTCTAGTGGCTCCCCTTTGACATTGTGCTCTTTGATTAAGAAAGTAAATTAGCTATTGACTCCTGTGGCACATACATCTCTCCCGCGCGCACTGCACAGTCAACGGGTGCCGTTCCTTTCTGTGGCAAAGGAGAACATGCTGCTGTGGGGGAGACCATGTCCCAAAGTGTGGTGAAAGTAGGAACTTTGGGCAGAATCTGGTGCCTTCCTTTCCCCAGCATCCTTCTGTAATGCAATATATCATGCACTGGAAGCCTTCGTGCCTGCTCAGCCTCTCCTTGAAAACCTCACAGAAGATTCTGTAACCTTCCCAGGTAGCTGGATTGATTGCTGAACAGCTCTTATCATTGGGACATTTTTCCTAACATTGAAACTGGTAGAAAGCTATAGCTCCTCCTCATTTCCTGACATCTTTTACATATTTGAAACCTCTCAACTTTCAGTCTCCTTCCTTGCAGCTAAATATAACCAGTCTTCTGATTTCATTCTTACAATGTTCAGTCTAGATTTTCCCCCCTTAATCATCTTCATTGCTCTCATCTGAACGGGGCATTTTTTCAATGTTTTTTCTGCTTCTTTCTGTTGTGGCACCCAGAACTTTACATTGTGTGCCAATTTGCCAGTACTTCATAGAATCTTATTGAAATTTCTCAGAATGCCTCCCAGTTAAAATGGCATATTCCATTTTTGCCACAACATCAGCCTCCTGGTAATTCATTATTTATCCCAAACCCTTCTTGGCAAACTGAAAAGTTTTTCCAGTTATGTCCCATCTCATGCATTTGATTTTTGCTCCCTGTGAGTAATACTTTATATTTTCCCTTAATAGGCTTCATCTTAATACTGTCTGCCCAGCTGTCAAGTCTGAGATTGGTTTGAACTTGTATCTTATCCTCTAAAAAGTTGGCAGTTCCCCCGTTTTTTATATCATCCTTTCCTTTGATGAGTGTGCAGCCCATTCTTTCACATGCTGCTTCACCCACCACAAATCCCTGCAAAATAGCATTTGGTACCTAGTTCCAGTCCAGTATTTTGGTGGCTTGTCAGTCAGTTGCATGTCATGCGTCCACCTAATCATGAAGTCTACCTTTTTAAAAAGATTTCTAGGAGAGTCACCAGTGCTCCTTGCCTGGAGTTTAAAAATCACATATCTCCTGCTGGATGGCAAAATATTAAATAAGCCTGAGGGGACAACAGCTGGGAAGATTGGAGAGAGGAAGAATAATCACCCTTTGCCCCCCAACCACTGATTTCAAGCTTCCCCTTCAGTTTGGGAACCTGAGATAATGTGGAGTTTCCATTTTGGAAGCTGTGGCAATACTGCCAGGTGCAATTCAGCCAGGATATCCCTCAACCAAACCCTCCTTTGAAATCAGCCACAGCCGTAGTACTTTTTTGTGCTATTAAAAGCCAGAGACTCAGACAGGTGAAGTGAATGGGCTTAGTCTATCCTCACTGTTTTCCCTCAGTTTTTTATTGCTGTAGTGCAGCTTCCCACAGCACATGCAGGTGTTGGCTAGAGCTCCCTTGCTCTCTGATTCTTGTTTGCATGTGTGTAGAGGT